GCACAAGAGGAAGAGTTTGAGCGTGTTGGTTTCTTCTCGAGAGGCGTCAAGGAAGACGTGGGTGTCATCTGCATATTGCAAGTGTGACACCGTGGAGCCCTGAGAAGTGGTAGAGAAGCCCTGAGAGGAGGCAAGACTGGTAAAGGCGGGAGAGGGATCTAGATAATACTTCCGCGGCAATGGCGGAAAGGAAGGGGGAGAGGTGATCCCCTTGGCGGAGTCCCCTGTGAGCAGGGAAGTATCCTTTCGATGACCCATTGATGAGGATGAATAAATGGGAGTGAGAGTCACAACATCTCATCTAATTCCTCCATCGATTCCTGAAACCCATTCTCCCCATGGTTTCATCCAAGATGGACCAGTCAACGTGGTCATAGGCTTTCTCCCAGTCTATTTTGAAAATTAATTCTTCGCTAGGTGTCTCGAGTGGAGGCACTCATGGGCTACGAGGACCCCATCCAGAATCTGTCTATTTTGAATGAAGGCGGATTGGGAGGGAGAGAGAACAGTGGGGAGTATAAAGTGGATTCTAGAGGCTAGGACCTTTGCAAGAATTTTGTAGGTTGAGTTCAAGAGGCTGATAGGGTGAAAGTCCTTGATTTCATCTGCCCCTTGTACTTTAGGTACAAGGGAAATGAAGGTGGCATTTAGAGCTTTATGGATGATTCCTCTGTGGAAGAATTCATCGAAGAAATTCAGGAAGTCAATTCTGAAAGTGCTCCAGAAAGTTTTGAAGGGTGCAATCAGAAATCCGTCAGCACCTGGGGCTTTATCAATGGCGAGGGCTTTAATAGCTTGTAAGATTTCAACCTCAGAGAAAGGTTGCTTCAACGAGGCAGCTAAGTCTTCTGAGAGAGGCAAAAAATCTAGGTCAACCATTTCCGAGGCAATGTATAGGGTTTGGAAGAACTATAAAATGGCCTACTCAATTTGTGCGAGTTGGCCAGAAGGTTGTTGTTAATTTTGAGTGTCGAGATGGTGTTGTCCCTTCTGCGACAATTGGCAATGCGGTGGAAGAAGGCAATGCTGAAGTCTCTGACTTTTAACCACTTTATACGAGATCTCTGGTACCAGAAGATCTCTTCTTTTTTTAGCGTAGCCAGATAGTCTAGTTTGGTTAGAGTTTTGAGGTTAAGTTCCCAAGTGTCCAAGGCTCTAGTTTCTTCGAGGTGGTTAAGGCGTTGGATAGAGTCCAAGAGAAGTGATTTGGTTTTGTTGTAATTGCCGGGGAGGGTTTTGTTCCAGGTTTTTTGGGAGATTTTACGGAGCTGAATTTTAGTCTGAAGTCTGTACCCTACTCTACCTCGTAACCTGAGGTGAAAAAAAGGCCCACCAGGTAGGTATTAAAGAAGCAAGGGACGTCTCTTGTAACCAACCTAGTTCAAACCAGAAGGGTTTGGGCCCTCTTTGCACAATGTTTGTATCCAAGAGGATGGGGCAATGGTCTGACACTGGTTTGGGTAAGGCGAAAGCAATGGATCCTGGGAAAAGTTCCTCCTAGCTGGTGGAAAAGCGGAAACGATCAAGTTTTGAGAGGGTGGGATTGGGAGAGTGATTGGATGAATTGGCTGCCCTAAAGAGAGATATCGATGAGTTCATTATTGGTGATGAAATCAGTGAAATCCCTCATGTCCTGGGAGATGGAGGTTGAGGAATTTCGCTCATAGGACCATTATGTGACAATGAAGTCTCCTCCCAAACACCACAGGGGGTGTGGTAGAGCAGCAACGTGGTCCAATTCAGACCAGAGCCTGGGTCTAAGCGAGGTGATGCAAGGCCCATAGGCGACCGTGAATTTCCAAAGAGAGACGGCAAGGATACTAGAGAGGAGAATGGTTACCGAGAAATCCCCTAAGTGAGAGAAAATGAGGGTGTGTTCCAGTGGGTTCCAAACCACCCAGATGCCTCCTGAAGCTCCATTCGCCGATAAAGCTACCCACTGGGTAGGTTTTTTCCCCCAAATTTGATGGATGAGCTGCAAAGTGGGCTCTGGTTGTTTGGTTTCCACAAGTGCCAGAACAGGTAAATTTCCGCAATACATATGCTTAAATCACCAATAACATGCTTGTCTTTGATAAGACAAGATCCCATCAATAATCAAAATATGTCGGCCTCATAGGTCCGGACCTGCCCAACCCAAGTCGTGTACGAGCCCAAAGAGAGTTCAAAATTGCAAAATAAAATACAAAAGAGTTGTTTAAAAAATAGTAAAAAGTATAAAAAAAAATTATAAACAGCAATTAAAGTCTATAAAAGGTGGACAAAAGCGTGTACCAAAATGAATATGGAAAAGCTTGATTATAGCTTGAAACAATTCAGCAAAATCCAGAAAAAGTGAAAAATAGAAAAATAGAGCATAATAATAAGAAAAGGGAATGTATACAATGAGACCATTTTCTTTTGATACAAGGAGGTCACAATAATCATTAGACTTGAAATCGAGTGGTTGAGGATATGTCATTGTTTGCGCACAAAGTCCTAAACCAAAATTTCTCGAATGTCATGTATTAGATTTCACATGCAATGGTCAAAAGTGATTGTGACCTCCTTAAACAAAAAATAAATGGTCTCATAATATACAATCCCTTAAGAAAATTTACGAATCACCATAAAAAACATAAAAACTATATAGAAACATAGTTTTTACATTATTAATTATTGTGTTAATAACAAAATATATAGTTTTATCAGGTTTTTATACAACCCGAGTTTGCACATTATACTTGCCTAAGCAAGCTAAGGCTGAGTGACTCGGCATAGTCCAAGTCCGCTTGGCGGAATTTTCGAATACTTCCCAAAAAGACGGACAATGGTAGATATCTTAACAAGAGAGGATGCAACAGGAAATGGTTTGCATCTTTGATATTCTTTCTTTCTTGATAAAGGATCATTAGAATCTAATGTTAATCATCATCATCATCCAAGTCTTATCCCAATTAATATTTGGGGTTGGCTACATGAATCTTGTTCATTCTTCTCTATCAAAGGTCCTACCCTCAGTCGAACTAAAAGTCACATATCTTTTCTCACTACTTCTATCCATGTCTTTTAGGGCCTTCCCCTTGCCTTTTTAGAACCTTCCACTTGAACCAAGTCACACCTCTCAACGAGTGTTATATTAGGTCTATGTTATATATGGCCAATACACCTAAGTCTACTTTCCCTTATCTTATTGTCTATTGAAACCATACCTAAATTCTCTCATTTGCATTCATTTCAAATTCTATCATTTATAATCTTGCCACTCATCCATCTCAACATCCTCATCTCAACTAAGGTCATCCTATGGATAGATTATTTCTTGACCACCAAACATTCTATCCCAAAAGCATGGCTGGTCTTCCAGCCGCCCTATAGAACTTCCCCTTCAGTCTAAATGGTATGCGGCGATCATATAAAACTCTAGATGCACCTCTCCACTTTGCCCATCCAGCTGTAATTCCATGTGCGACATCTTCTTAAATCTCTCTATTCTCTTGAATTATCGACCTAGATATCGAAAACAATCTCTGTTAGGTATTTCTTGACCGTCAATCTTAATTACGTCCCCATCTCTACTCCTATGAGCGACATCTTCCTCATTTTACGTTGGCCTACCAAATGCAACCCATCTCCTTTACCGAGCTTAGGACAGGTTAAGGGAAAGTTTAAGTCCTCACCCTTATCAGATCAGATCATTAGAGTCTAATGCGGCCTAATTTTCCTTTTTATCTCCTAGTCTAATGCTTCATAAATTTTGGTTCCCTTTCATCAAAAGCACAAATCAATCAACAAAAAAAGAATAATAAAAATGTTGCTTCTTGGGTTCTATCATATAGTATGGTGCTCTAAAGTCCATATCATCTTCAACAATACAACTCTCATACTACCTAAAGAAAAGAACTATTTTTACATGTAGATGGACTGATTGAGATGACATTGAACCACAACATGGGCCAACAAATTAATGCAGGTTGCAATGCTCAACACTTGGTATAAGTATTGGGCATAAGGGATACGACAATCAACAGTAAGAATGGGGCTCCTATTCCTAAACCGCGACCTAACAATAGAGAGACAATACAATAAGCCATACCTCGATAAAGTTATGGCACCTGATCAGAACTTGTCAAAACCTCACTACGGAAAAACCGCATGACCAAAAAAAGAGAATTAAATGTTATCATAAAAGCAAGCAAGATTCATTCCATTTATCATAGGAAAGAAAGAATGCATACATTGGATATTTCTGTATAGAACAAAATATCGATGTTTAAAGATCAACACGTGTTGATATATAAAAACTAAAGAGTGAGGGTGGCACCCCAAGCAGGAAATGTCAGACACTGATTAAATTCTCAACAGAAATCAGATACCTGAAACATACCTTTTTTAAATAACACATCATTCCGAGTTCCAGTACAACATGCAGAAAAGACTAAAATCCAATACACTCTACAAAATCCAAACACTCTAAAATGCAGGCAGCAAGTCTGACAGAGAGCATCCATTAGAATGGGTGTCTACAACATATGTGGTTTGATGACACTGTAATGCAAAATTTACCAACAACACTTGCATATTTATAGACCTTTGTTCCTCGACAAAATAAAAATATAAGCTAACAAGCATTGAGACAATTATCAACCATGTCCACGAGATCAAACAACGGGAAAAGACCATGCAAATTCCCAAGTATAAACTTTTCATACAAACAATGGGAACCCTTCGTGAAAACTAATGAACTGAAGCAACTTTCTTGTCGATTCTAATCCCTTAAAACTAGAAAATTGATGATCCCATGAAATCCTAAATCGCAGTAAGTTTCAGTATAAAAGCAAAAAGAATATAACATTAACTAATAGATGAAGAAAAGAAGAACCAGCATTTTATCATTTCTAATTTCTCGTGCAAGAAACATCACAATCCATGGAATTTCTATACCACAAATATTATTTCAGAGAAAATGTTAAAAATAGGATTGGGAACCAAGAAATAGGCAAACAAAGAGATGGGTTCACCTTGCAAGGCCAATTCTCTCTGTAAAAATGGCAGATAACGCAATCACTGGCCTTAACAGCTGCAAAAAAGTCCTTCTCACTTGGAATTTCCTGATATTCACCATGTCCCAGAGAGATCCATCGACTCTTCCTCTCAGCCATCTTCTTCAATTGCTGCAACCTTCTCTCTCTAAGAGCCTCTATATCATCCAAATCAAGCCGATCTAAAGCTGCAATCTCATCATCGATCTTGTCCTCAAAGGCCTTGGCGACAGTTAGGACTTGCTTCTCCACAATCTAGAACCACATAGAATGAAATGAAAACCCCAAAAGAATGAGGGGAAGATTATTCATAACAATACTTGATGGAATAGAGAGAGACCTGTTGTATTGTTGTTGGAGGGGCTTCCATTTTTCTGACAAGGATTTGGATGCCACAGAGACTGAGAAGTTGTCACGAAGAGAATGGTTGAGTGTCAGTGTGGAGAGCATGGACTCTCTCTCTTCAATGTCAGTGTGGAAAACACGGGCTCTCTCTCTCTAAAAGAAACAAACATAAGGGCGTGCTCAATTTGCTGGGCAAAAATCGAGCAGGATGCTTCCTACAGTTTCCCAATAATGTCTTTCGGCGTCTCATGCTAAAATACGAATCACTCAAAAAATCTCTATTTTTTTAATATGCTAACAACTTTGAGTTTTTTAAAAGATCTTTCACAAAAAGGTAGAATTATCAATATATCTCTTAGGGTGTGTTTGTTTGTTCGAAGATAATTGTTCCCTAGAAAAAATAAGTTCTTCTTTCCTAAGAAGTGGACTTATTTGTTCAGGAAGGTTAAAATAAAATATGGGTACTATATTTGATAACCTGCTGAAATGTTAAGGAAGTTCTGGGTACCTGTGTTTGATTACATGCTGAAATGTTGAAAAAGTTATGGGTTCCTGTGTTTGATTCACCCTAGAACTTTTGAACTGCAGACATGTCAACCCAGTTTGAACCGTTTGTTCATTTTTTAGTTACATGGGGAAAATATAGCATGTATGAAGGGCATAATTGTGACATTCCTAATCTCTAATTGCATCCCAAAGTTGATATTATTTTTATTATCAACTTGACACTCCATTTCTTGTGTAGCATCCTTTTATCACTTTCATCATTCATTGAGCTCTAATGCTTTCTGGGTTGTATCACCTTTCCTTTGAGGCATCATTAAATTTTTTTCTAGAAGTAAATAAAAGGAAAATAATCTATTCAGCAACCATTTAATGAAAGGATATCTTGCACATTGATTGCAAAATAACAGCTAAGGGAGCTAATGATCATTGACGAGCCCACTACTCCTAAGGCATTGAATTACATCGCATATACAGCTAAATTAAACAAATTGACCCACTCAAGGTATTGTAACTTAAATGGCACTTCTCCATCAAAAATTCAAAGACGCACGAACTACACTTACAATTCATGCCACAACACTCATCAAGAGAATGAACAAACAACTCATGTAATTATGCAAACTGCCCTTTGAAGTTCAGTGCAACACTATTTTGTGTGAACACTGTGTCCAACTGCCCTTGTAAATGTTAAACAAATAATAGCATCTTAACCTATTATATACAATTATCATAGCTTCTTACTTTAAGAAACATGTGATTATGCAAAGATCTTAACTCATTAACTAATGAAAAAAGAGAAAGGAAGAAGATGGATCTTGAATGCATTGTGAAGAGAGAAAATTGAGGGAAAGAAGATTTTAAACCCCCATTTCACAAGGCGGGTATTAGCAAGCATATTTTAAACCCCCACAAAGGAAGAAGATTTTAGAAAGAGAAAGAGGGAGAAGGATAGCCACAAGGCGGTTGTTGTACAAGCAAGCTGAACAGGTGTGAGAGAGGCCTGAAACCCCCATTTCACGCACCTACAAACCTCCATTTCAAAACCCTAATAAGAACATTAATGTAAAAACCGTGACATTTCGATTCAATATAACCTAAACACATAATCAGGACCCATATCAGAGGAGAGAAATCAGAGGGAGACAAGGATGAGAGAGAAGATGAAGGAGAGGGGAGGAAAGAGAAGATGAGAGAAGAATCTTACCTGATTGCAAAAGCGAGAGAGAAGAAGGTCTTGCTAGGGCTTGCGAGCTCTGAAATGGGAGCTAGGAGGCAGGGGCGAGATGGCTAGAGCTGAGAGCTGCAAGTTGGAGGCAGCGGCGAGACACTAGGGTGGCATTTGATAACTTTCCCTGCAGTCTCCCTGTTTCCTGAATTTTGGAAATCCAACACACAAAAAGAAGAAAAAAAATCTTTATAGAGGGACAGCAGCAAGAGATGAAAGTTCCATACTGTAAACCAGTGATTTAAAAGTCGGCGAGTCGACCCGGACTCACCCGGGTCGACATGGGAATCGGCTACCCCGTACCGATTCATGTGCAATATCGAAAATCGGGCGAGTCTAGAGAGGAATCGCCGGTTCTCGATGATTTGCAACAGTAAATCGGTCTAAACCATAGTTAGTAAATCGCTGTTTAATCAGCGATCTTTTAAAAAAATCGACGTTTTTATGGAAACTGTTTTAAACGGCGACCTTTTGAAAAGGTCGTGAAAAAATGGCGTACTTTTCATAAAAACGTTTACAACGCGATTTTTCATAATTCGATTTAAATCAGGTCAAAAAATCGTATCTTTTTTTACCTATATTTTTTTTTTCCCTGTCTTGTATATTGCAGCCATTGCTACTTTCATGCTTTTAGAAATTTGTATCCCCATAGTGCTCTTCAAAGCCACAGTGGCACATTGAAACTATGAATTTTTTCCCTTTCTTAAAAAATTTAAACAAAGTTGTTATTATGGAAAATCATTGTGTAAATAAATTAATACCGTTTATAGCAAATCATTTCGTAAAGTAAATCATTGTGTAAAGAAAATCATATACATGCAGGTTTCTGTTATTATTTGTGATAATTGTTTTTATGAAAATAATATTTATGGCACAAATTAGAGCTCAAAACATAGTCTTTTACTGATGAATGACAAGCAGAGTGTAAGTACAGGTTTTTGATTATGTGCTAACAAAGATAAACAATATAGCGCAAACTGTAAACTTACAGGAGCAAGCAATCTCCCAAACTTGTTGTTTTCCAAACAAAATGAAAAACCCTCTTCCTTTTCTCTCTGCAAAAATCAGGGCCTCTTCACAAATCAAAAAATCAGTAAGGGCCTCTTCACAAATCAGTATAACTAGGGCTTTCTCTCAAACAAGAACTCAGTATAATTAGGGCTTTCTCTCAAACAAGAACTCAGTATAATTAAGGCTTTCTCTCAAACAACAACAACTCAAATCAGAGAGAAAAATCCTCTTCAAACTACTCAAATCAGCATCCCACCTTCCTTTCCTTTTCTCTCTCTAAAAAACAGTTAGGGCCTCTTCCATTAGGGTTTGTGAAGCCGATGAACTCTTCCTTCTTCCTTCTCTCTCTCTAAACCAAAGCCGATGAACTTTTTCCTACTTCCTTCGTCTCTCTCTATAAACCCTTGTGGCTATGAGCCTCTTCCTTCATCCTTCTTCTCTCTCTAAACCGTAAACACAGAGATATGAAACCCAAATCTCTAAGAGCCTATTTTCAATTAAAGAAATTTATAAAACTTTAACCATAGTTTGCAGTGACCACAGTCACCATACTATAGTTCAATTATTATAATGAGAAAAAAAAATCGTGAAATTTTTTTTGGTACCAGCCAAGTAGATGTGATGTTTTAAGTATTTAATAAATTTATGTAGAAGATTTATCATCATATTATAGTAAAAGTAATTAATGAATAAATTTATCTAGTATATTTGTTTTTGGTTTTTTTCTTCTGGGAAATCATTATAATCTTCAAGGCATGAATCACAGTTGCAAATATCAAACCAATGATGTCCATCAACTGTTTTTTGTTCATAAATTGGACTTCCTTTTTTCTCAAAAGCTACAATAGGAACCTTTTCCAATAATCCATGAAACTTGGTTGGACATATTTCTCTATTTTCCTCAGTTGTCTGCTGAGTTTGAAAATCTATTCTAACTGTTCCATCTGGATTTCTAGTTATTCTGGAATCAGTTTGCTGAAGAGGTCTTCCTTGATTTTGCAGATTTTCATAATTTGTCACCCAGATAGATGGAATCAATTCCAACAGTCTTTCTCTCGAGATTTGTCTCGGAATATAATGACAGATAGGTTGGGCATTATTATCTACTTTTATAAACAAGGCTTTGTTTTCTTGTTCTAGGGAAAGAGGAGTAATCATGTCAAAGGCATGATTCTGTAATCTATACACCATTTGGTAATGGAGTGTAGCTACAGTGGCTGTTTCAATTTGTCTAGTGCCTGTGATTTGCAATTGAACTTTAAAGGCTGAGCTTAGGTGAGGATCTGTGATGGGGATATTGAAATTTGGGAAGAAGGTAACAAAAATAATTCCGGCATTTAGCGTTGTTTGCACAGTTCCAATACATGCATGCTGGTATTCTAGAAACCTAGAATCTAACAAAGCAATTCGGGAAACTGGTTCCATTCCTTTTCTTCCATGGAAAGTTAAAGCAAGCTTAATGGCTCCAAAGTGAACATGTGTATAACCTTCCTTGATCCATTGGGGAAATAGGTTGTTAGGTAGGGTTATGGTAATATATTGTTCAATTTGGGTGGCTGATATTTGGTGTTGGTCAAAAGAAGAAGCTTGGATAAATTCTTTTATAGCTTCAAGGGTTTTTTTCCACACAATTTCTTGATCCTTTTAGTCCAATTCAAACTGGATTTATCATAGACATGATAAGGATTTATCAGTTGAGATTTGTTTCTGAAAATTTTTCGGGAGTATATTTAATTTCAAAAAGATAGTCTTGTTTGGAAAATATAGGATTGAAATCAAGACTAGTAGAAGGACAACTATTAATAGAAGTTTCAGTAATAGCATCCTCTGCCATTAAACTGTTGTTATTATTTTGACTGTGATTTTAAAAGATAGAAGGTAAGGCAAGTTTTCTTTTTGTTAACAACGTATGATCCCTAAAGGCATTCAGGCCTATAACAAGGTTCCTGTTATGTTAACCTTAGAAAATATTGACAGTGGAATAATCAAACACTCTTGAAATTAACCTTAAGTACATACCATGTTTTCTGATGCGAGAGAACAAAGAGTGAACAAAGACATTTAGATAACAAAGAGTGACATAGTATAAAATGCCTGGAATGGAGGAATTTACAAAGAGGTTGATAGTACAATAGCACACCAAAGCAGATAAGAAAAGCACACCATTACTGACTAGGTTGAGAGGCTCCGAGAAGCTCCTGCCTTAAACCACATCCTAAGAGGCCTTATATAGGCAACGGATCTCAAATCCGGAGTTCAACGTTAAAAAATAAAAAGGACACCTGGCAGTCATGGTCATGTGGAATTTATAAAAGTTGAAGGCTCTTGGGTTTTACTGTGTCCATTGATCATAATGATAATAATCGAAAGACTGTGTCCATTGATCATTACTGTCAAAGAAATTTTGGGAATTTATAAATGGTATCAGAGCCAAGTTATTTCAAGTTTGATATTAAATGTTACTATTTTGACTGGATTAACATTCTGTCCATACTGAGATTAGTATGCTCTGCGTCTGCCTAGCCGGTCTAGGATCTCTCGTATCAGAAAACATGGTATGTACTTAAGGTTAATTTCAGGAGTGTTTGATTATTCCACTGTCAATGTTTTCTAAGGTTAACATAACAGGAACCCTTTTATAGGCTGGAATGCCTTTACGGATCATACGTTGTTAACAAAAAGAAAACTGGCCTTACCTTCTATCTTTTAAAATCACAGTCAAAATAATAACAACAGTTTAATGGCAGAGGATACTATTACTGAAACTTCTATAAATAGTGGTCCTTCTACTAGTCTTGATTTCAATCCTATATTTTCAAAACAAGACCATCTTTTTGAAATTACATATACTCCCGAAAAAATTTCAGAAACAAAATCTCAACTGATAAATCCTTATCATGTCTATAATAAATCCAGATTGAATTGGACTAAAAGGATCAAGAAATTGTGTGGAAAAAAAACCTCTGAAGCTATAAAAGAATTTATCCAAGCTTCTTCTTTTGACCAACACCAAATACCAGCCACCCAAACTGAACAATATATTACCATAACCCTACCTAACAACCTATTTCCCCAATGGATCAAGGAAGGTTATACACATGTTCACTTTGGAGCCATTAAGCTTGCTTTAACTTTCCATGGAAGAAAAGGAATGGAATCAGTTTCCCGAATTGCTTTGTTACGTTCTAGGTTTCTAGAATACCAGCATGCATGTATTGGAACTGTGCAAACAACCCTAAATGTCGGAACTATTTTTGTTACCTTCTTCCCAAATTTCAATATCCCCATCACAGACCCTCACCTAAGCTCAGCCTTTAAAGTTCAATTGCAAATCACAGGCACTAGACAAATTGAAACAGCCACTGTAGCTACACTCCATTACCAAATGGTGTATAGATTACAGAATCATGCCTTTGACATGGTTACTCCTCTTTCCCCAAAACAAGAAAACAAAGCCTTGTTTATAAAAGTAGATAACAATTCCCAACCTATCTGTCATTATATTCCGAGACAAATCTCTAGAGAAAGACTGTTGGAATTGATTCCATCTACCTGGTGACAAATTATGAAAATCTGCAAAATCAAGGAAGACCTCTTCAGCAAACTGATTCCAGAATGACTAGAACTCCAGATGGAACAGCTAGAATAGATTTTCAAACTCAACAGACAACTGAGGAAAACAGAGAAATATTTCCAACCAAGTTTCATGGATTATTGGAAAAGGTTCCTATTGTAGCTTTTGACAAAAAAGGAAATCCAATTTATGAACAAAAACAGCTGATGGACATCATTGGTTTTATGTTTGCAATTGTGATTCATGCCTTGAAGAAAACAGAATGCAATGTCTACTCAAGTACAAGGATTAGCCAGCTTGATTCACCAGTTGAAAGAAAGAATTCAACTCTTACATGAAGATTTAATGAACATTTTGTACACAGTTAAGGACATCAATGAACAGTCTTATTTACTGGTACAAAAAGGGCAAGAAAAAGCTAATTTGGAAAAACAACTGCAAAGTTTAGAAAAAGGCCTTTGGAAGTCCCAACACCAATCTTAGACACAATATCAGACCTTTTCTCAACCCACTGGCTACCACCCTCTATTACCCATTTCAACTTCTCAAAGATACCCATC